CATCAAAGGAAAACCATTCAATCCTACTGTGCTGGGATGCGCACAAACACCAGAAGGACAATTCAGGGAGGTGCAAAATGTATCCCACCATTCCTTTTAACGTCAGTGGACATCTTCGCCCGTCGGGGCATTTTGACAGAATGCAGCCAGCTACCAGACTATGTGGAACTCTCACACGAAAGGTGAGTCTTACATTTATTTTCTTTTTTTAGTAAAGTAAAGCCTAAGTTCATTTAAGTTATTACAGAGCACCATAAAAATTAAATAACTTTTGAGAATCATTTGAATATTTCACTTTTACTAATCAGGTACCTTCTTTTTGGATTGACATTTTGGAGTGGAGGGCACTACAGAGGGCCTGTTTTAATGAATGGAGTATGGCGTCATTATGATGGGCTGTGGGAGAGGAATTCCAGAGGGCAGGGACTGAAATCCACAGGGAAGCCGTCCACTCCAAGTGGCTTCCTCCTCTCTTACTGTGTGTACATTTTCGAAAAGATTTTGCATTGAAAAGTGGCCTGTATCCTTTGATCTGTTGTGAAAGAATTTATAAAGCACAAAATCATAGATAATGCTGTCGAAGTTTGAAATATTGACCTCCTTGTTTCTGAAAAGAAGGGAAGACAAAATGTTCCTTCACTGCATTCAGGTTGCCGGTATTGATGTCGGTATACTGAATGAGCTCACATTACCAACGCCAAGCCTTCCACCTCAGACCTCTTATGATCAGCAACATGGCGAAGAAAGCACCTCGAAGATGACTTGGTCAACATTGCTTTTCGCTAGCAAAGAACATTGAAATTGACGAAATAGAAGATGAAGAACTCATTGGTGTTATTTCCAATGTAGTGCCCCTGGTTGATCGTCCACAAGAGATAACTTTACACAGTTCACAGGTATCCTTTCAACCTGATAAGATAGAGCGTTTGACGAGAGGAATGAACATCACCGAATGTCTTCAACGCTTGAGACTGCACAGAATGAGCTTGAACGTTCAGTCATTAACTGTTGTAACAAGCGCCATTAATCAAGTTAGCAACTTGCAAGAACTATTCTTATCGGAAAACCCGCTTGGTAGTAGCGTTAGCCGTTTGGCAGAGAATCTTCAACATGTGCAGCAGCTGGAAACTCATGTGGACGAGGAAGCGTTTTCTGATCTTGCTAGTTCTTTATGTGATGTTCCTGAGTTGAAAGTACTTTGTGTATCTCGGAACAAGTTGGGCTCCTCTATCACTGTGTTAGCTAATACTTTTAATAGCATTCGTGGTCTCACCCATTTGGAACTGAGTAAGACGCAAATGGACAAAGAGGGAGCAATGGCGCTTTCTAACGGCTTAAGAAGTCTCAACAAATTAGAAGTGCTCGATATATCACACAACCCGTTGGGAAGGGCAGTCACTGAGATTGCACATCATCTTCAGAGTACACCTTGCCTGACCGAACTTCATATGACTAAAACCGAGATGGGTTGTGACGAAGCCACGGCAGTTGCAAGCTCATTTAAGTGCCTTCAAAATCTTAGGATGCTTTCTGTTGGGTCCAATCCACTTAGTCGAGGAATGCATTTTCTTGTCCAGCATCTCTCTAAAATCCCAAAGCTAAAGCATCTTAACCTTACAAGCGCATTGACGAGAGACGAGGAAGTCAACTTGGTATCAATAGCTTGCAAAAGAGCTCAAAGTGTGACCATTACCACAGATTATCTGGTGAGTACGAGCGCATTTTCTTTCTTTCTCTCGCTCTTTCTTTCTTTCTCTTTCTTTCATACCTTCGCCATTGCACTTATCAAAGAGAACTGACATAACAAAGCTGGCTCCGATTGTTCGTGATGTGAAATAGACGCGTGCGAACAAATCAGAATTTGACAGCAATTATCTCATGACTATGCAGGTTTTGTGCTCGTTTCGCGGTGAACCTATATTTACACTGTACAAATGCGGTCTAAATACTCATTACAGTTATAAAACAACAATTAATAACACTTAGTAACAATCGCAGGAGTATCTTATCGTCCCTTTTACAAGATCCGACACAGCTTTAATGCTTGCACTGTTCCATTACATGCAGACAGTTCGAGACAGTTCAACAGGTCCGAAAAAAAAAAATTCAATTTTTTCGTCAAAATTAACTCTATAGTTTCATACATCTCTAGGATACACACGGCCGACACTATAACTAAGCTGCAGGAATTATCTGACGAACAGTACTAATACTAACATTACTCTCCATACTGAATTGTTTGTAACTGAAGTGCATGGTTGCGAAATTCACGTTCTCGCGTTAGTATGGGATCGCTATTCTACGCTTTCNTCTCTCTCTCTCTCTCTCTCTCTCTCTCTCTCTCTCTCTCTCTCTCTCTCTCTCTCTCTCTGTCTCTCTCTGTCTCTCTCTTTGTTTCATAATTTCGCCATTGCACTTATCAAAGAGAACTGACATACCAAAGCTGGCTCCGATTGCTCTTGACGTGAAAGATAGATGCGTACGAACCAGTGAGAATTGGACAGCAATTATCTCATGACTATGCAGGTTTTGTGCTCGTTTCGCGATGTACCTATATTCACACTGTGCAAATGTGGTCTAAATACTCATTTTATTTATCAAAAACCAACAATTAATAACACTAATTAACAATCGCAGGAGTATCTCGTCGCCCCCTTTACAAGATCAGACACAGCTTTAAGGCTTGCACTATCCCATTACATGCAGACATTTCGAGACAGTTGAACAGGTTCGAAACACAAATTTCAATTTTTTCGGCGAAATAAACTCTATAATTTCATACACTTTTAGGATAGACACGGCCGACACTATAGCTGAGCTGCAGGAAGTATCTGACTTACAGTACTAATACTAACATTACTCTCCATACTGAATTGTTTGTAACTGAAGTGCATGGTTGCGAAATTCACGTTCTCGCGTTAGTATGGGATCGCTATTCTACGCTTTCCGTTCTAGACGTTCAAATAGAGTCCATATAAGGTCTAGGGTTTGTCTTTCTCTTGTTAAACAGTTAGATGTCTTTTACTTGGCAGACTCCCCAGTCTATATATTTCACAGATCACCCCATCAGAGCTCTCTGTTTTTTAAACGACCACTTATTTTTGACCTCTATAATGGGGACGCCTCTATACTATGGATAATCTTAAGCCCTTTTCTTAGTGAGCCGTTCTTCCTAATCCGTCCATTGTTTGCACGCATTTGAACATGAGTTACAAATACGACCGATCCTCTGAGGTAAGGACATGAAGTAAACACAGACACGACCAACCGTGCGAAAGATGTCTTCTTTTATTGGAGAGAGCTTCATGTTGACAATAAGTTTTAGATATTAACTGTAGGTTACAGTTTTTATGAAATTGTGTCTTTACCCATAGATTTCACGTGACGTCACAAGCTTTGATCAAATCAGTGTCCGCGATGTCGGTGTCCCTCGGGTGTCAA